TATAGGCGTGCGCTACCATGCCCGGCTAATTTTTTGGATTTATTGTAGAGATGAGGTCTCGCCTGCTCAGGCGGGTCTCGAACCCGCGGGCTCAGGCTATCCACTCTCCTCAGCCTCCCAAAGGCGCTGTATTACAGGCTGAGCCACTGAGCCCAGCTTAAATTTATCCCTTAAAAATGTTGTTTACAGCCGGGTTCGGTAATTTATCCCTTAAAAAATGTTATGTATGCGGTTCGAGACCCGCCTGGGCAGCGAGACCTCATCTCTACAATAAATCAAAATATCAGCCGGGCGTGGTAGCGCATGCCTGTAATTCGGGCCACTTGGAAGGCTGAGGTGGAAGGATCGCCGGAGCCCAGCAGGTCGAGGCTGCGGTGGCCGGGAGCGTCCACTACACCACTGCACTCCAGTCTGGGCGACAGAGTGAGACTCCAACTCAAAAAAAAAAAAAAGTTTTGTTTACTGATTCATGCCATTTAAAGTTTAAGTACCTCTTGTAATTTACGTATGAATGCTCAAATGTGATTTTCTTTCTCTGTGCGTCTGTATTAGGCTTGAAACTATTTGGGATGAAATTCAATTAGATACTGAAAAGCTTCTTAGAAGATGAAATAATGTGTATACATTGCTTACCTCTCCAAGCCATGGTTTCTTGATTTGTAAAGTTGGAATAATAATAATACCTACCCCATGTGACTGTAGTGATGATTAAATGAAATAACATAAGAAAATACTTAGTATAGAGCCTGATACAGGTCAAGTTGAGTATCCCTGTCTGAGATACTTGGGACCATAAATATTTCAGATTTGAGATTTTGGGATATTTGCACGTCTGTACCAGTTGCACATCCCTAATCTGAAAATCCAAAATCTGAAATGTTCCAATGAATATTTCCTTGGAGATGACCTTTGAGCATCTTGTTGGCACTCAAAAAGTTTTAGATTTTGCATGTTTGGGGTTTTAGATTTTCAGATTAGGGATGCTCAACTTGGATAAGAAATCGGTAAGAGTTATTGTTGCTAGCATGTACGATATGGAAGTCGGCTTTATAGCTACGTCTACCCTTCACACAACCTACTTGTTAGAAGATTTACATCCCATTAATTGCATTCCATCTCTAAGTGAAAACTTTAAAATAGAGAAATTGTATGGGGGTGGATTCTATTTTAACAGTCTATCTTCTACAAAAGGATAGCAACTCTCAGTATCAGTAAGTGGTAAGGAAATGAGGGTATTTCTAGGAACAACACAGATAGTTGAGTTTTCTTAATACACCTTAGCTGTATTGTAAGTTTCCAGGGTTATAAAGGACTAGAAAGTTTGACAAAAGAAGAAATGAGTTTTTCATTAAAGCATTAAAAAAGTACGGCATTAAGCCAGGCTCGGTGGCTCAGCCTGTAATCCCGTGCCTTTGGGAGGCTGAGGTGAGTGGATTGCCTGAGCCCGCGGGTTTGAGACCCGCCTGGGCAGCGAGACCTCATCTCTACAATAAATCAAAAAATCAGCTAGATGTGGTAGCGTATGCCTGTAACTCCGGCTACTTGGAAGGCTGAGGTGGAAGGATCGCCGGAGCCCAGCAGGTCGAGGCTGCTGTGGCCAGGAGCAGCCATTGTACTCCAGTCCGGGCGACAGAGTGAGACTCCAAATCAAAAAAAAAGTACGGCATTATATTTTATCTTCTTGTAAGTGAAAAATCAAACTTCTGAAGAACTGATTAGAAAAATTATTGTTTTATACTTACTTGATCACCTTTGATGATATTCTTCAAATCTGAAATAGTTTATATTCTGCTATAATACTTAGAGTTCTGTATAAAATTATAGAGCAGAAAAATCAAGATGTAGGAGATGAATTTATAGATTTCCTTTTAAATAGAATAACTTAGAACTAGTATTTTAGAAGTATGCTTTAAAAAAAAACCTTTATGTCTTAGGAGATATGCTGTATATATTTGCTGGTTTGGTTGTCATGAGCAACAAATTAAAATAATACAACTTAGAGATAGTAGATTTTCATAAAAGATTATTCTGATTTGGCATCAACCTCCAAACTAAAGCCTCTTTTTGTTTAATGGTATCTGTGTAATTACAGGGTGTAGGAAAAAACAAGATTGTTGATAGATTCCTTCATCTACTCAACAGACCCCGAGAATACATCCAGTTGCACAGGTAAGTCTATTAGACCCATAACCTCTTAAAATATTATTTAATTCCTTTTTCTCCCAGTAAAATTTGAAAATTATTTCTTAAAGTCCCATTTTTATAAATGAGTTTTACTTCTATTCCTTCTGCTCTTATCTGTTCTCTCCTTAACAGGTAATAAAACCATGCAAAATTTATTTTTAAAGTGACTAATATTTTATAAACATAAATTAATAGATAATTTTGCTGACAGAGTATGATGAGCATTATATTCTTGGAGCAGAGCTCATCAACGTAAAGCCTCTTAAGTTAGAAGAAAAACATGTCGACTCTAAGCCCCTTCCCCATTCTTTAACAAAAAGCTAAAATAGCTTACAAGGAGAACAGTTAGCTATAAGAATCTCAGTGAGGAGATAAAAAACCCAGAAATATGTCAATATGGAAGAACCAGTTATTAGTTGTCTCTCTGTCTGCCTTAAAAACAGTTTGTATTATTTAATTTTGTGTGCAGAAGGCTATTTCAGGAATAGTTTATATTCACATAGATTTTCTCAACATGGATCATTTCTAACTTTATCAGTGAACATATTCCAAATTTTAAAAATAAAATGTAAGTAACAGATAACACCAAAAACAAAACAAAAGATAGAGTCAGACTGAGACATGAAGACATAATTTGAGAAACATACCAAGTAATGGGTAACTTAAATCAGCTTAGATTGTTGTATTTTAATCCCAGAAAATAAAAAAAATATAGTGTGGTGGAAAGAGCATTGACGTGAGTTACAAGAATTTGTTTCTGGTTTGGGTCCTTTCAATAAATGATTATCAATTCTTGAGAGAGAATTGTAGGAGAATGGAAGGCAGAGTTAGTAGGTCAAAGGAGAAAGAGAAAAGAACTGAAGCAAAACTGTGATATGGTCAAAAATTCCCTTTTGGGATTTATGCTTCTAGCTGTGACAGAGTAATGACATCAGATTTGCCCTACTGCCACAAATAACTATAAAACTAGACAAAATTTACATCACTGGAAAAAAGAACAATTACCAGAGATCTGTAAACTGAACAACTACTAGAGTTCCTATGTGTTTAGTAGTTTTCATTAAATTCTTCTTGTATTCAGATGATTTTCTATAAAGTCTGTGCTTTAGAGGTAGATCTAAGTTGTCCCTAAAGTAAGAGCTAGTCTATACCCACCCTTACAAAAATTAAAAATAAGCCTTAAAAAAGAAGGATGCTTGCTATTTTGAATTTCTTTCTCATAGAAAATAGCTGAAAAAATAAAAAGAATGGATGTTTGGGGAGGCAGGAAGGAATGCCTTGAAAAGCTCAAAGTGATTCAAAAGTAAATTGACATTCCTGAACAAACTTAACAATCAACTAAGGAAGACAGTAAAATCCTGACATTCAACAACATAACATTCATAATATCAAGCATTCAACAACAAATTACTAGATATTCAAAGAAGCAGGAAAATTGGTCAATGGAAATAGACTAAAAAATGACAGATGATGGAATTAGCAGACAAAGACTAAAACAGTAGCCATAAATATTTTCAAGTATTTAAGGGGTGGGAAAGTGAACATAATGAGAGAATAGTTAGGAATTCTCAGTAAGACATGATAGTACTAAAAAAAGCAGCTTCGGATACAAGTGATTGTAGTTTTAAAACAGAGGGGAAAAAATGAGACAGAACAATGTTTGAAGAGATAATAGAGTTCTCAAATTTGATGAAAAGAATAATGTCACCAATCCAGGAAGCTCAATGAACCTCAAGCAGTATTAACTGAAAGTCAAAACATGGTACATCATAACCAAATTGTTAAAAATTAAGAGAAAATCTTTAAAACTGCCAGAGGAAAAAAGACACATTACCTATAGAGGAATCATGATAAAAATTACTTCTGACTTCTGAGAAGTAAGCATAAACCTTGGTAATGCAATGAAATGACTGCTTTTCATTACAGTGTTAAAAGAAAAAATTCACTATAAAGTAGTATATTAAGCAAAAATATTCTTCAAAAGTAAAGACAGTAAAGACATTTTCAGACAAAGCTGAGAGCATTTTTTATCAGCAGGTTCACATAATTGTAAGAGAAGAAAATTACAGTTCGGTATTACCCATTAACATAGATGCAAAAATCCTTAACAAGTTTTAGCAAATCAAATCCAACAATATATAAAAAGGATAATACTGCATAACCAAGTAGGTTTTATTCTGGGAATGCAGAATTGATTTTAACATTTGAAAATCAAATAATGTTATTCACTTAATTTACAGAATAAAGGTAAAACCATATGAGTCTCTCAATTGCTGCCCCAAAGAAAGCATTTGAGAAAATTAAACATCCATGTATGATAAAATGTTACATAAACCTCAAAGACCACGAAACTTTCTCAACCCTGTAAGAGGCATGAAAAATCTATAGCTAATTTTATATTTAATGATAAAAAACTAAAGTACTTTTCTTCTATAAGAAAGGAAAAAGGAAAGGATATTCACTATTCATATTATACGGGAAGTGCTACCTAGTGCAGTAAAGCAAAAAAAAAGTAGTAAGTGGCACACATATTTTTTATAGACACATGATTGCATAATTGTGTATATAGCAAAATCTTAAATCTACAAAGAGAGTATCAGAACTAATAACTGAGCTGAGCAAGGACATAGGAACAGGATAGAGATTCCGGAAGCAAAAACCTCAATGTTTTAACATCTTCGACAAAGCCTCCACCAACAACCACTGGGGAGATGAAAACCTGTTCAGTAAATGGTACTGGGAAAACTGGTTGACACCATGCAGAATATTGAAACAGTATTACCTATCGCCATACACAAAAATCAACTCTAAATGAATCAAAGACCTAAACATAAAACCTCAAACTATAAGAAACTTAGGAAATGCAGGAGACATCCTTATGGAAATTGGAACTGACAACTAATTCCTGATCAAAACCCCAAGTGTCCATGCCATAAGAAATAAGATAGACAAGTGGGACCTCATCAAACTGAAAAGCTTCTGCAAAGCCAAAGAAATCATCAAGAGAACAGGAAGACAGCCCTCAGAATGGGAAAAAAATTTTGACAACTGTATATCTGACAAAGACCTAACATCCAGGATTTACGAGGAACTCAAATGTGCCGAAAAGGAAAAAACAACCAGCCCCATTAAAAGTGGGCAAGAGACATGAATAGACACTTCTCAAAAGAAGTTATAGAGGCAGCCAACAATAAAGGACTCAGCCTCAATAATCATCAGAGAAATGCAAATCAAAACCACACTGAGATACCACCTAACTCCAGTAAGAATGGCCATCATTAATAAACAACAACAGATGCTGGCGAGAATGCGGAGAAAAAGGAACGTTTCTACACTGCTGGTGGGAATGCAAACTAGTGCAACCTCTTTGGAAAATGGTGTGGCAATTTCTAAAAGAACTAGACATTCACCTTCCATATGACCCAGCAATCCCCCTACTGAGAACATACCTGGAAAAACTCAAATCATTCTACAAAATAGATACCTACACATGCATGTTTATTACAGCACTATTCACAACAGCAAAAACATGGAACCAACCATGCTGCCCATTGAAACTGATCTGGATTTTTTAAATGTGATACATATACACAATGGAATATTGCACAGACATAAAGAAGGACAAACATACGGACTTCACGGCAACTTGGATGGATTTAGAGTCTATCATACTCTGATCTATCACAGAAACAAAGAACAGAGCACCACATGTTCTCACTTTTAAGCAGACCCTGAACATTTACCATAATACTATAAGAAAGGGATTGACAGTAGGGGATACTGCTGGTGTATGGATGGGGGGGATACAACATCAATAAGGGTACCTAATCTCAAACCAGGCAAAATGGGGACCAAAGAGAGGCCCAAACTTTACCTGTACAATGACAACTTGCATACTTAATCCTGAATTGTATCCCACATCTTTAAAATAAAATTTTAAAAATTTTTAAAATAAATTTAATGAACAAGTATTCAGATATAATAATACAGATGCCACCTAAGTGTATAGTATCACTTTGGAACCAAAAGAAATGATTTTAAATTTAATATTTTAAGATAATTAGAAGAAAACATTTTTTTTTCTTATGGATGGCTTCAGAAGTTGAAATCAGCATTGAAATTTACACCCTAGAAAAGACTTTATATGAGAGTCTTTTCTATTAGTCCCTTCAATAAAACACAAAACTCGTGTAGTTTTATGTGTGATCATCTTATGTTTTGATGATCAGGTTTCATAAAGGCAGTTTTTCTGTTCCTTTATTTTGGACAACAAAATGTTTTTTGCAAAAGATATGTTAGGCTGAACTTCCTCAGTCAGTTCTGATTTTAGATTATTTAACACTCAACCAAAAAAGAAGGCAAAGAAATATAGCAAGTATTTAATAATTACTCCTAGGTGTATGTTAGAACCATAATCATTATATATAGGCCTTTTACTTATAGATTCATTATCTTTATTAACTGTGAGAAGTTTGATAAATGTTATTATTCTAGATTTTACTTCTAGTTATTGGCATAAAGTTGTTTAGAATATCATTGTATAATATTGTAATGTGCTTAGGCTCAGTACTTATATCTCCATTTTTATTCCTTCTGTTGGCTATTTGCCCTCTCAATCAGTTTTGCCAGGGCATTATCAATATTCCAAGAACCAACTCTTGGCATTGTTGAAACACTTTTTGTTTCATTTCTATTTCAATAATTTCTGATTTGACCTTTATTATACTCTTTATTTTGTTTTCTTTAGATTTCATGTTCTTTTTTAAACTTTTGGATGTGAATGTTTAAATCATTGATTTTTAAATTTTAATTTATAACATATGCATTTGAGGCTATTTTTGAATTTCTCTTTGGGTCTCAGTATTTTAATCTCTGAATAAAAAGATCAGACAGGATCATTTATAATATCCCTTTTAGCTCTCTATTCAAATATCTTTGATTAGGCAAGAAGATGGAGAGATACTATGCCTTACTTCCTGCCTAGA